GATTTTTGGAAATTCATACTAGAACGGTACGAAAAGTATTAAGAAGTACTAAATGTTATACCATTTGTATTTGGCGAACCGTTAGAGCTAGAACTTTGAAATTTGGATTGGTGATTGATTGATGGAGTGTAGGATAGATCTACCAAAGGGTTTTTTGAAATTCGGATAACTATCCGAAAAGTACGAAAATGTACTGAATTTGGTACAATTTCGTAGCATGTAAACGGATAGCGGTAAAAACTTGATATTTGGAGCGTGAATTAAGGTTGAGAAGTAGGTTCCAATTAAGGAGATGATTTTGAAAGCGTGGGCTCATATGTACGAAAAGTACATATTTGGTGGAAATTTATTTCGGAGTTACAAATCGAGCTCGAATCCTACAATTTGAAATTATCATTACCGTCGGAGTGTAGGAATGGGATATGTACGTAGTTTTGGATTTTTTTACTGATGTGTACGAAAAGTACTAAATTGTACTATAATTGGTACAATTGGCATTTGGAGGAACCGATAGAGCGGAAACTATCAAATTTGGAGTCAGGATCTCTGTAGGGGTGTAGGATTGGGGTCAGGATTCAGTTTAAGCAATTTATATTCATGGGTACTAAATGGTAATAAATTTGGTAGAATTTGAATTATAGGCGAGAGCTAGAATCAGGATCACTGTTTAGGTGTAGGATCGAGATTTGTAAAAATGTTTACTAATGTGTACTAAATTTGGTACAATTTGATTTGTGGGTGAACCGATAGAGTTGGAATCCGGAAACATGGATTTAGGATTGGGGTATGTAGGAAGTTTTGAAAATTGGATCACTGTGGGGGTCTAGGATTAGGTTATGTAGGAAGTTTTGGAAATTGGTACTACTGTTTACTAAATTTGGTACAATTTGAATTGTGGGCGAACCGATAGAATTGGAATCCTGATTACTGTGCGGGTGTAGGATTGGGGTATGTAGGATGTTTTGGAAATTGATACTACAGTGTACTAAATTTGGTACAATTTGAATTGTGGGTGAACCGATAGAGTTGGAATCCTGAAACATGTATTTAGGATCACTGTGGGGGAGAAGTTTTGGGTTAAGTAGGAAGTATTGGAAATTGTACTATTGTGTACTAAATTTGGTACAATTTAAATTGTGGGTGAACCATAGAATTGGAATCCTGAAATTTGAATTTGGAATCATTGTGAGGGTGTAGGATTGGGGTATGCAGGAAATTTGGTTGGATGGTTGAGGTGGGTACTCTTGGAGATAATGTGTGCTAAATTTGGTACAATTTGAATTTGGGTGAACCATGAACAACTCAAATCATGAAATTTGGTACTAAATGGTACTCAAATTTAATTTATGGTCGATATTAATGTGTGGATTGCTTAGTTTTTCTGACATATTCAGTTTTCTGTGAAAATAAAATAATATGTTAATACATGTTTAAATATATCCCACATTCGCTAATGAAGTGGCGGCCATATGCTAGTTTGTTATATATGGTTCACATACAATTTATCAATATGAGTCCATGTTGGTATCGGTTCATTGTGAATGTTTTAGCAGAATGTTACCATTGTAGTGGCTGAAATTGGGGCATTCCGAAATATTGGAGGGTAAAATAAATATTTGCAAACAAAAGTTCTGTATAGGTTCATCAAAGCAGCTTTAAGTAATTTGGTACATTATTATTTCAGAATATGAATAACTTACGACTACATAATGCAACAACATAGTCCCCTTATAAAGTTCCGACCGATTAAAGGTATTTTAAATCGAATGGATCAACAGAAGATCCGAACGCCTGGAAAATAGAGTCCGGGAATGTCTATGTGTAAAAACGAGGATATCTGGAAAAAATCCACAGCATTGAGAGATGTTACTTTTTGGAATATAATGCTTGAAAAAATTAAGTGTGGATTTGCAAGTGTTATTTCAAGAAGACATGCTGTGGAGAAGAAGTTCGCCAATTTGAAAATTGGTAAAAAAAAATCAATAAACAAAATTTCAGAAACATTTGGTTGTTTGTTTATTTATATATTTTTTCCACAAAGGTATAAAATATAATTAGATTTAAATAAAAACAAAGTATACAGCCACATTTTACAGACACAGGAGTGGAGAAAAAAGAGTGGAGCTTAAAACACATAGAAATCTACATTAGGAGGAGGTATTTTATACATATCTTGCTGTAAAATGCGACTAGAACTTTCAAAAAGTTATTTTCACATCTACTCCGAAGTCGGAATCGAGTTAGAAACTTGAGTTGAAGTTTTAGTCATTCTCAACGTTGTAGTCAATCTTGGAACAATTACCTATATTTATACATACTTCATATAAATTTTCAACAATATACATAAAATCATTGCCAACCAACAACATTTCACCAATTTCTCTATCCATGCATCTATATTTTTTCTGCATGGATACTTTTTGACTGACATTACCAAATTTGTTTCAAATAAATAAAATACGTTGCTAGACAAGAATATTTTCTTCAATATTTGTTTTTTGCACTTTTTCTCGAAAATGTTCTTTGGACAAAACAGAAAACAAAAACAACAACATCAAATTTAAATTAATTTAACAATCTAAAGTCCATGGTAATTGAAATAAAGTGTGTGTGATGGCAAATGTCTAGACTAATAAAAAGAATGTTAAAAAAAAAGTTTTTGAAATGAACAACATTTATAAATTTAAATGAACTTTGTTAAAAAATATAAATATTGTACTTATTCTAAAGAGACACTTAAATGGGTTTGTTTTCTTCAATTTGTTTGGAGTGTGTTTTAGTAAAGACTTATATACAACAAAGTGTAGGATGTATAAGTAATTTCTTAATACACAAATACCAGTTTTATTAGATAAATTTTATTTCTCTATGTTTAGGTTTGTTGAAGGATTATTATTTTTTATATAAGATATAGTCTAATATAATCCATTTAGTAAAGGATCAATGTCGGACGGGCAGACTATATAATATCCTAAATATTGAAAAATACTGAAAAATTTAATATAAACCGAAACAATTTTAAAAATTTATCTCAAAATAAGCACAATATAATGGTGTCGGATATAATTAGCTATAATATAAATATTAGGTTGAGAAAAAAGAAATCCATTATTTTTATATGAACTATTGCACCGTTTTATTGCCATTTTAAGGGTAACTTCATAATGCCCCTCTCATACCAGCCCTGCTTTCTATTTGCAAAAAAAAAAAAACTCTAGTAGTCGATTTTCACAATCCTCTCTAGATACCAATTTTTTATAATTAAAGAAATTTTCAATGCAAGAAAAAGATGATAACACATTGGTGGATGCATTTGGTTTGGTGGATGCTTTAAAACTTCCCAACCAAGCTCCTGAAGTTTCCGGCGATACAGTGTAGATGTGTGTGGCCTAGCATTGTCCTGGTGGAACACGACACCTCTCCTGTTGGTCACTTATGGCCGTTTGTGGTCAATTGCTATCTTCAAACGGTCCAGTTGTTGACATCAGAGATCAAAATTTAGCGTTTGGCCATATGGAAGCAACTCATAGTCAATAATACCCTTCAAGTCCCACCAAATGCATAGCAGAACCTTCCTGGCAGTTAGTTCTGGTTTGGCCACCGTTTGAGGTGCTTCACCGCTCTTTGACCACAATTGTATTCGCTCAGGGTTATCGTATGTGATTCATTTCTTATCTCCAGTCACCATCCGTTTCAGAAATGGGTCTACCTCATACAGTTTGGCCAAGGTTTCGCAGATGGAAATTCGATTCGTCCTATTTTTTCTGTTAATTGTTGTGGCACCCAAACTCCGAGCTTCTTTTTGAATCCAGCTTTGGGTAAATGTTTTAAAACATTTCTATGGTCGATTTTTAGCTCCTGGGCGATGTTACGACTGCTAACATGCCGGTCAACTTCGATCATTTCTCCGATTTTATCGATATTTTCGACGAAAAAATAATGGATTTCTTTGTCCCCAACCTAATATTTCACATGCGAAATTGATTTCGGATATAAACTATATATATTCCGAAAGCCCATGGACTGACCTTTCAGGTTTTGTAATTTCAGGACAGCGGGCCTAATGCCTGTCTTATATAAATTACAAGATATAATGTTAAATTGTACAATTTGAAATTGATTTCGGATAAAAAACAATATATATTCTGAAAGCCCATCGAGTGACTTTTCAATCGTGGATATTCGCTTAGTCCCAGGATTTGGAATTTTCGTACAGTGGGCCTAACAGTTGGACCATATCAATTACCAGAAAATTTAAAATTTAATAAAGGCAACAAGGTTTCAACACCTGAAATTGATTTCGGATATAAACTATATACATTCTGAAAGCCCATGTACTGTCCTTTCAATCATGGGTATTCGCATAGTCCTAGGTTTTGGAGTTTCGGGACAGGGGGCTTAATAGTTGGACCATATTAATTAACAGAAAATTTAAAATTTAGAGAAAGTCGAAAAATTTTAAATATCCGAAATTTATTTCGGATATAAACTATATATATACATATATACATATATATATATATATATATGTATATTCTTAAAGTCCATGGAGTGAGTTTTCAATCGTGGGTATTCGGATTTGAATTTTTTGTACATTGGGCCTAACACTTGGACCATGTCAATTTATGTTTTATTGCATACAATCCTATTTATTTTTATTAATTTCGAATAAAAATTTAACAGAGCTATGTAAATGGGTTAACCTTTAACATTTTTTTCTTCGCGCTCATTTTGTTTTTTGTATATGCCCCTAGTTTTTTAATGTTGTTGCCTTGCTTGTTAACTAATATCTTACAAGATAACAGAATCCAGATTTATTAAAATTATATTAACCGTGTGAAATGTTATCACATTTTATTAGTGTTTTGTTCAAAAGGGTTTATTACGTGTATGTTTATTCAAAATATAGTAAAAAGATAGATGCAAAACATTTTTATTTAAATATCGGTCATTCTCCTGAAAATTAGTTCAGTTTTCTTTGTAAACGCAACACAAACAGAATGCAAGTCGTTACTGTTCTTACGTTCTGTGTAGTAGCAGTATTTTTGCAAACAGCTCAGGCTGTTCCAACGTTGCAACGTGGATTTCAGGGTGGTGAATTTTATCTTGAAGTTGATCAAAAGGTGGTATTAAAAGAGTCATAAAATCCCCTTTCGAATTTCATTGATTTTTTATTTGTTTTATATTTTTCACATTTTCCATTTTAACTAATTTCTAATTCCCCCTCCTTTCGTAGTATAATTGGTTTGAAGCATCACACGAATGTGCTCGAAAAGGTTTGCGACTCGTTGAAGTCCGTGACGCCACCAAGAACAAAGAATTATTGACTGCACTGGAATCTTACATAGGTATCGTGAAGAATTTGCAGATTTGTAATAAATTTATTAGAGACCGTACTTTTTTGGTTTAGGCAATCCTAAGGACTTTTGGATAGGAGCTAACGATGAATACAATACGGCCAAAGATCTAAATCGCCCATTCTACTGGTCATCTGGTCAGCGTGTAACATTCACTAACTGGGCAAAAGGCGAACCGAACAATGCTGGTAGTAACGAACACTGTGTACATGTATGGTCTCTACGAGACGGTTTCCAATGGAATGATAAGGCTTGTACCACTAAATACGGATTTATTTGTGAAAAGCCTGTATAAAATTAAATTACCAAAATCCTTTTTTTCCCCACATTGTTAAAAAATTAAATGAATATAATATTATAAAATTTAAATAAATTAATATTTCGGCATACAACTAATTCCTTTGGACAATTCAAATCACTATCGTTATTTCAACAGACAGGCAGATATGGCTACATCGATATAGAATTTTACTCTGATCAGCTCTATATGTTCATCCAAAATTCAAATTGTAACAAATTGAGTACACATTAGTACGAATTTCCAAAACGTTAAACAAAGCCCAACCCTACACCCCAACAATGAACCATAACGTCAAATTTCAAGATTCCAGATCAGCTAAAGGAACAACGTCGGATGGGCCGACTATATAATACCCTAAATATTTAAAAAATACTGAAGAACAAATACTTAAGAACGATACTAAAGAACATAATCGAAACAATTTTAAAAAGTGTCTCAGAACAAGCACAATATTATGGTTTCGGATATAATTAGCCATTATATAAATATATCACAGGTGTATTTTGTATATACCCTACTGATCACGTAGCGAACATGGGTTTCGTATAATAAAGATAGTGAATGTCTTGCTGTGGGTCTCTTGTGTAGAAGAGAAAATATTTAGTTAAACAGGGATCTATTTTTGTCTACAGTCCACTTGAGATATGAGATTATTTTGGTTGAATGTTTTGTACACAAGAATATGATAGGAGTTTTCTATTGCCTCATGTGGTATGTTTGGGTGAGATTACGGGGAGTAATCTTCACTACAGACTGATAAGCATGTGTAGCGTGCTTGCCACATGTGAGATAAATAATTGTGTGTGTCCACTCCATGTGTTATGGCAGATGCACTCTCTCTCTCTTTTTTACACATTAGTCTAAGATAGGTTAAGTCATATTGTAATATTTAGTTCTTAAGAAACACTTTTTATATTAATAAATTATTGTATAAATACACAGCAAATATGTAAGACGTGATATCACTCCGCGGACAATATCCGCGCCATCAAGATCAGATCCCTCGTTTTTCATTGGTCCCTCGAGTCGGATCAAGATATGCTGAAGAATTTACGTTAACAGTCAAGGAAATTCTGTCAGCTTGGTGAAAAGTTGGAAAAATAAAATGCTGAGTCAAACGGCAAGGGAGAATGCGGTGAAGGCGACACATGATTTCCGTAGCAGAGAAGAAGAAGGAGATGCAGTGGAAGTACGAGGCAGTACATTGCAAGCCCTCAGAATGCCGAGTCAAAAAGAGACTGCGAAGAGAAGCTTCAATTCTGAAGCTAGGCACAGCCTCGACACCGACCCTGGAGCTGGAGATAAACAATCTTCTAAATAATATTAACATGTTTGCAGAGAATATCGATCGACTAGATACGACATATATGACTTTATAGAAAGTCTAGTGAGGGACGCACCCGATGAAGTAAAAGACGATCCGGTGGTGCGAGATAGGTGGATGGAGATATTGGAGAAAAAATCCAATATGGCAGAAGGTTTTAGGTCATTCCAAGAACAAATTGGCAGCCGTCAAAGAGCATTGGAGGAGAAAAGCAGTGACGTGGCGGAGTTACGGGCAAGGAATAAAGAGCTAGAAGTTGCTCTAAAAAGATCGGAAGACGCCAATGGTTGCCTTAAAGAAAGAGCACAGGCAAGTTATAAAAAAGCAAGAGATACATACATTGAATTGTACTTTCAAGATCTCAAGCTTAAATGTGAATTGGTTGCGGCTGCAGAGAAAGCCCAGGCAGCAGAAAAATCCTGGGAAGAAGAGAAAAGGAATCTTTTGAAAAAACTTGATCTTTCGGCAAAGAACCGTCGATCAGCAGAGACAGAACGTTACCAGTTGGCCATACGAATGGTTGCCAATAACAATAAGGAACGGAAAGTAAGTATTATTCCATTTGTTTACAGTAATATTCCATTGGCACAGGAAATAGCTCCAGTCGAGTTGGCCATGGATAAAGGCTGTATGATAAAGAAGTCTGAAAATGCGATCTGTAAGTTGAAAGTGGAAACCACGATTGGTAAGCAGAAAAGGCCAATAAGACGAAGAAAGCGATCAAAGATGTGGATGTGCCGCCCTGGAAGATAAAGAAGACGGTCAACCGTAGCGAGCACTAGCCGGTGGCTGGAAGATGTGGCCGGTAGGAAGATGAAGCCGGCGGAAAATAGCGATGAACCCACAAAAAATGTGATAGTGGTGATAAGCAGGAAGCGCTAGTTACGGATGTTCCGGTCAGGAAGATTATCGATATAAATCTTTTACACATTAGTCTAAGATAGGTTAAGTCATATTGTAATATTTAGTTCTTAAGAAACACTTTTTATCTATACTAATAAAAGAGTAAAGTGATTGACTGACTGACTGATTTAACGATTCATCAACGCCCAGACGAAACGGCTGAAGCTAGAATCTTGAAATTTTGGGTGAGGGTCACTCTTGGCCCAAATGTGACAGATAAGGCTGGGTTTTTGGAAATGCGTACTAGAAGGGTACGAAAAGTACTAAAAAGTACTAAATATGATATCATTTGTATTTGAAACAATGAAATTTGGAGTTAGGATCATTTTAGGGGTGTAGGATTGGGGTCAGGACTCAGTTTAGGACATTATTACTAATGGGTACTAAATGGTACTAAATTTGGTACAATTTGAATTTTAGGTGAACCAATTGAGCTAGAATCATAAAATTTGGAGTCAGGATCACTGTCGAGGTGTAAGATTGAAATATGTAGGAAGTTTTAAAATTTTGTACTAATGTGTACTAAATTTGGTACAACTTGAATTGTGGGTGAACCGATACAGTTGGAATCCTGAAATTTAGATTTTGGAGCACTGTGGGGGTGTTGGTTTGGGTTAAGTTGGAAGTTTTTGAAATTCGTACTAAATGGTACTAAATTTGGTACAATTTGAATTTTAGGTGAACCAATAGAGCTAGAATCATGAAATTTTGAGTCAGGATCATTGTTGAGTTGTAAGATTGAGAAATGTAGGAAGTTTTAAAATTTTGTACTAATGTGTACTAAATTTGGTACAATTTAAATTGTGGGTGAACCGATGGAGTTGGAATCCTCAAACTTGGATTTAGGATCACTGTGGGGGTGTTGGTTTGAGTTAAGTACGAAGTTTTGGAAATTCGTACAACTGTGTACTAAATTTGGTACAATTTGAATTATGGGTGAACCGATAGAGTTCGAATCCTGAAATTTTGATTTTGGAGCACTGTGGGGGTGTTGCTTTGGGTTAAGTTTGAAGTTTTTGAAATTCGTACTAAGTGGTACTGAATTTGGTACAATTTGAATTTTAGGCGAACCAATAGAGCTAGAATCATGAAATTTGGAGTCAGGATCATTGTTGAGGTGTAAGATTGAGATATGCAGAAATTTCTGCTAATGTGTACTAAATTTTGCACAATTTAAGTTGTGGCTGAAGCGATAGAGTTGGAATCCTGAAATTTTGAATTGGGATCGCTGTGGAGGTGTAGGATTGGGGTATGTAGGAAGGTTTGAAAATTGGTACTACTATGTACTAAATTTAGTACAATTTGATTTGTGGGTGAACAGATCGAGTTGAAATCCTGAAATTTTGATTTAGGAACACTGGGGTGGTGTAAGATTTGGGGTATGCAGGAAGATTTGGAAATTGGTACTACTATGTACTAAATTTAGTACAATTTGAATTATGGGTGAACCGGTAGAGTGGGAATCCTAAAACTTTAATTTAGGATCAGTGTGGGGGTGTAGGATTGGGATATGTGGGAAGTTTGGAAATTCGTACTACTGTGTAATAAATTTGGTACAATTTGAATTGCGAGTGAACCGATAGAGTTGGAATCCTGAAATTTGGATTTAGGATTAGTGTGGGGGTAGGATTGGGGTATGTAGAATGTTTTGGAAATTGGTGCTACTATGTACTAAAATTTGGTACAACTTGAATTGTGAGTGAACCGATAGAGTTGGAATCCTGAAATTTGGATTTAGGATCGACGTGGGGGTGAAGGTTTGGGTTAAGTATGACGTTTTGATAATTCGTACTGCTGTGAACTAAATTTGGTACAATTTGAATTGTAAGTGAAGCGATAGAGTTGGAATCCTGAAATTTGGATTTAGGACCACTGTGCAGGTGTAGGATTGGGGTATGTAGGAAGTCTAGGAAATTGGTACTAATGTGTACTAAATTTAGTACAATTTGAATTGTGAGTGAACCGATAGGGTTGGAATCCGGAAACTTTGATATATGATCACTGTGGAGATCTAAGGTTGGGTTTAAGTAGGAAGTTTTGGAAATTCGTACTTATGATTGTTAAAGTAGGTAGTTATGGAAATTTATATTAACGTGTATTAATTTGGATTGGTGAAGCTAATTAAGCTAATTGTCGGTATTGGGTTATTGTTTTTCAAAATAATTATTACAAGAGTTAAAAGGGTAAAAAGATTACACCAAATATAGCGTAGTGGTAGATTTCTGTTGCGGTGAGAATTGGTGTGTAGGGTTGAGATATAGAGGTAGTTTTGGAAAACGTACTATAAGAGAACATATGTACTAAATGGTTCTTAAATTTCAATAATGGTCGGTATTGGGTTTTAAATACTTCCCACATTCGCTAACGAAGTAGCGGGTATATGCTAGTTATATTAATAAATTAGTGTGTAAATGCACAGCAAATAAGTAAGACGTGCTATCACTCGGCGGTCAATATCCGCGTCATCATGATCAGATCCCTCGTTTTTCACCTAGTTTTTGAATGTTGTTGCCGTGCTTGTTAGTTAATACCATTGAGAATATAACAGAAGCTAGTTTTTTAAATTAGACATGGAAACTGTTATCACATTTTATAAGTGTTTTGTTTAAAAGGGTTTAATACGTGTATGCCTTTTTAAAATATAGTAAAAAGTTTGATGCAAAAATAGTTCAGTTTTCTTTGTAAACGCAACGCAAACAGAATGCAAGTCGTTACTGTTCTTACGTTCTGCTTAGTGACAGTACTTTTGCAAAAAGCACAGGCTGTTCCACGATTGCAACGTGGATTTCAGGGTGGTGAATTTTACCTTGAAGTTGATCAAAAGGTGATATTGAAAGGAGCATAAAATCACATTTCGCAAATAAACGGGGAAAGGATATTTTTTAATTGAACACTACTTAACTACAATTTTTCATTAAATTCATTCAATTTTATATTTTTCACATTTTCCATTTGAACGAATTTAAAAATATTTATTTTTAATTAATTTATAATTTCCCCTCCCTTTGTAGTATAATTGGTTTGAAGCATCACACGAATGTGCTCGACAAGGTTTGAGACTCGTTGAAGTCCGTGACGCCGCCAAGAACAAAGAATTATTGACTACACTGGAATCTTACATCGGTATCGTGAAGAATTTGCTGATTTTTAATAAAATATTTTGAGACAATATTTTTTGTTTGTTTAGGTAACCCCAAGAACTTTTGGATAGGTGCTAACGATGAATACAATACAGACAAAGATCTAAATCGTCCATTCTACTGGTCATCTGGTCAGTGTGTAATATTCAGTAATTGGGCAAAAGGCGAACCGAACAATTCTGGTAGTAACGAACACTGTGTACATTTATGGACTTTACAACGCGGTTCCCAATGGAATGATAGGGCCTGTACCACTAAATACGGATTTATTTGTGAGAAGCCTGTATAAAATTCAATTAACAAAATCCTTTTCTTCTTCCCACATTGTTAAAAAAATGAAAGTAATATAATAATATAAAAATTGAAATAAATACATATTTCGGCATACAACTAATTCCTTTGGACAATTCAAATCGCTATCGTTATTTCAACAGACAGGCAGATATGGATACATCGATATAGAATTTTATTCTGATTAAGAATATATACAGGGTGAAAAAAACTGTAACCAACTTCAGACTGCTGTAATTTCTTAGCCACTCCGACAACTGTAAAAATTATTCCAGTGACAGTGTTTACAAGCGTACAAAGCATTTTGGCGGGATTTTTGAAGAAAAGAGTTATTCGTGATTGAATTCAAGCGTGATAGTGTGATTTCTTTGCATTTGGCTGGAAAACCACAAGTGGCTATAGTTAGAGCACTCCAATATTTAAATGTGAATAAATCTTTTGTGTCTCGTACTATCGCTCGTTACCGTGATACTGGTATCGTAGCCCGACGTCAAGGAAGTGGACGGAAGAAAACAACAACATCAGCAAAAATTGTTCGAAAAGTGGCTCGTGAGCTGAACATTTCAATATTCCATTCGGCAAATATTGAAAAATGAGATCAGGGTAAAGCTATTGAAATTCCAAAAAGTGCAAGAACTTACACCGCAAGAGAAAGAAAATAGACTCAAACGAGCTAAAGAGTTGCTTCGCTTGGCCGAAAGTGGTGAACTGCCGAATTTGGTTTTCTCCGATGAAAAAACATTCGTTGTCCAGCATGCCATGCTGAGTATGTGGGCCGCCATAACAGCGATGGTCGTTCTCCGTTTGTATTAATCGACCGTGGCATTACAATAAATGCCGATTATTATAGTGAAAATATTCTGGAGGGTGTATTAAAGCCTTGGGTGCGCAAACATTTTCGCCGCAGACTTTTAACATTCCAACAGGACTCAGCACCATCGCACTCAGCACGCGCCACCCATGAATGGTTGCAAAATGAGGTTCCTCGCTTCATTTTCAGCGCACAATGGCCACCAAAAACTCCGGATACCAATCCGTTGGACTATTTTGTCTGCAGCTTTTTGGGAAAGCAAAGTTGGCAGTAAAAAATACCAAAGTGTTGATCACCTCAAACAAGCGCTTTGCCGGGAATGGGCCCAAATACCACAGAGCAACATTCGGGCAGCGTGTGACGGTTTCATTGGCGTTTTGAAGGTCATAAAACGTGCCAAAGTTGACCAATTCGAATAAATATAAACTTATTCTAAAATTTCATCTTATTTTCGACATTTTTGCTGGCGATTTGGCAACGCCTTAATATAGAAACAGGTGTTCAAATTGAAGTTTCCAAAACACTTATAAATTTTCTGTTTATACCACGCTTTTTGTGCTAGGCTAAGAACTTCCCAGGCTCCCCTCGTACTGACACAAACATACTACCAAACATTTACGACAACACTTTTGTAAAAATATTGAATTTGGTGGACGCAAAATACACCGTCGTCCGTCGTCTATAACATAAATATTAAATCGCATTAAATTTGTTTATCGAAATAATATTTCATGTTATGATAGCTAACAATATTTCCTATTTCCATTGCAATGGTATGGCATGTCCGTCGGCCCTCAAATCGTTATACCGACATCCCAATATTGTGTCCAGTTTGTTTGATTGTGGCGTGTATAATTTTTAAATACATTTGTGGTTAGACTCTATCAAAAATCAATAAAATTCAAATTCAAGCAAATAACGCAGATGGAGACAGACAGACAGGCACAGAGAAAGAGAGTGGAAAACAGAAAAATTGATGTATAGAGAGAGAGCGAAAAAAAGTAAAAATATTTTGTAATTTAAATAGTTTTGTGGTGCAAAAATAGTTGAGGTTTTCATTTAACACATCAATGAATTTGATCAATTTGTAGGCAGCATTCGTTTCAGATGAACAGATATTTAAATGGCAATTTATGTATAAATTGTATGTGAAATATTTTTATGTGTAGGTGGACATTTGTATGTGTGTATGATTCATTTACACATGCAAATCAGTGTAAATTATGACATTTATCAAAATTACTGCGGTTATAGGGGTTATTTGTACAACTGCCATATATTTGAAATATTAAATAAATGGTTAAATATGTGATGTGGTGAAAAATGATATACACAATCCGATATATTTTTCATAGTGTTAAACAAAATACAGTTTCAATGGAATGGGTTGGGTCACATATTTTATTACATTTACACAGATAAAATGAAGAACCCTATAACATATGAATCTAATTATTGGATTGGTTAGTGAAATGTGAAGCGTCTACTTTATTAGGAAGTGATGTCGGATATGAAATACGAAGCAAGCCTTCCATCACTATTTTGTCTCACCAATCACGTTGGTTTCAGTAAACACGGTTCATGGCATTTGAGGCGTATGAAGTTGTAGAACTTCATAGTGTTCTGCAGATTCTGAATATTTAATTAATTTGCAGTAAATGGGTGCCACAACAATGAAGAGGAAAAAATTGGATGGATCGAATTTCCATCTGCAAAGCCTTGGCCAAACGGAATGTGATATACCCATTTCTTAAACGGATGGTGACTGGAGTTGAGAAATGGATCACATACGATAACCCTGTGCGAAATCGATCGTGGTCAAAAGGGCGGTGAAGCATCTCAAACGGTGTCCAAACCAGGACTAACGGCCAGCAAGGTTCTGCTATGCATTTGGTGGGATTGGAAGGGGATTATTTATTATGAGTTGCCTCCATATGACCAAAAGCTAAATTTTGATCTTTACTGTCAACAACTGGACCGATTTTATCGTCGAAAGTTGACCGGCATGTTAGCAGTCTTAACATCGCCCAGGAGTTAAAAATTGACCATTAAACTGTTTAAAACCATTTACACAAAGCTGGATTCAAAAAGTAGCTCGATGTTTGGGTGCCACACCAATTAACAGGAAAAAATAGCATGGATCGAATTTCCATCTGCGAAGCCTTGGCCAAACGGAATGTGATATACCCATTTCTTAAACGGATGGTGACTGGAGATAAGAAATGGGTCACATACGATGACCCTGTGCGAAAACGATGGTGGTCAAAGAGCTTTGAAACACCTGTGGTGAAACGGTGGCCAAACCACGACTATTGGTCAGGAAGGTTCTCCAATGCATTTGATGGGTCTGGAAGGGGATTATTTATTATGAGTTGCTTCCATATGACCAAACGCCTAATTTTGATCTCTACTGTTAACAACTGGACCGTTTGAACATAGCGATTGACCAGAATCGGCCAGAATTGGCCAACAGGAGAGGTGTCGTGTTCAACCAGGACAACGCTAGGCCACACACATCTGCAGTGACTCGCCAGAAACTTGGGGAGATCCGCCATACAGTCCGGCACCAATCGATTATAATCTTTTTCTTGCATTGCAAAATTTCTCTAATGAAAAAAATGGAATCTAGGGAGGATTGTGAAAATAGGCTACTAGATTTTTTTTTTTTTTTTTGCAAATAGAGAGCAGTATTTCTATGAGAGAGCCATTATGAAGTTACCTTTAAAATAACAACAAATAATACAACAACACGGTGCATATTTGGCCCAAATCGTAAATTCCGAAGCATGTTAAATAAAGTCCTATAGTTCATAAAACAATACTGGATTTATTTTTCCCCAACCTAATATGTTAGATTCATGGTCCGACATATGCCCCTTATATAAAGACCGAATGTTTTTATGTATTTTTTAAAATCCCTCCCACATATCCAAAAAATAGTTGTTAAGTAGTATTTTGAATTAAAAAAGAACAACATACCTCCTGGAACCTAATAAAATTTTTCCTAATAAAAAATTTCCTAGCAATCAGCACTACATTTCCGCCCTCTAGTGTGGTTCTGAAAATTTTAATCAGAATAGGTACCCCTGTATATATCTATGTATATCTCCCACATCCGAGTACATATATCAGCATAATTGGTATTAATTTAAAATATACATAGGCAAGTCATGCTTATTTTTGGGCTAAAATCCCGTCCACCGTTAAAATTTCGTGATGTTCGGGTCATAATTGTAGCCTCTAGAGCGACCAGAAAATCAGATAAAATAAAGTATTAGGTCCATTTGAAACCTTAATAATTAACGAATCATTTGGTGTCTTCTTTGGCCAGAACCGGTCCTATATGCATAATTGTGTGGCAATTTGTCCTAGTCGAATCGAATATGTGAACAAATTCGAAAGTATGAAATATACCGACATTTATTAGTTCACATTATCGAGAATTAAATGAATGGGATGTTCTCATTATCGACAGTTCACTGCATATATATGGAAGCTACATTATTAATAAAAATCCAAAATTAGTGTAAATCGGACAAATATTAGAAGTTTGGCACACCATTTACCTAAATTCGGACGAAGATATATATCTAAATATGAAGTGAATTTAACGAAACTTAACACACATCATTTTAGATTTAATTCAGTACGCCAAAATATGCGAAATTCCGTGGAAATCGAAAGGTATATAGAGACAGGGACGTACGCAGAATGAAATGAATTTTTTTCACAGTAAATTTATGTTCGCAAAAGCGATTTTTTTCATTTTGACTCCTCCCGAAATGTAATCCTGTATACGTTGCTGTATAGAGACATTGGTGAACGATTTACTTTAAATCAGACGAAAATATATATAGAAGCTATATCTAAATTTGAACCGATTTTCACGAAACTTAACACATTTCATTCTAGATTTAGTTTAATACGCTATGCCAAATTTCGTGTAAATTGAAACATGTATAGGGACTTTGATGTACCATTTACATTAAATCGGAGGAAAATATATATGGGAGCTATATCTAAATCTGATTTGTCCCAATTTCAATAGGATTCGTCCTTGGGCCAAATAAATGAGCTCTACCAAATTTCATCCAATTCGGGTCATAAATGATTACAATGCTGGCTTACAATGTAATATAGACAGACAGACGTACATGCATAAATCGCCTCAGAAAGTGATTATATCA